TTAAATAATGTTGAATCACATTAGTTGCTTTAATTACCCTTTTGCCATTAGTGGGCCACTACCTACAACATTGTTTTGGAGCCTTTTGATGCATCATTCTTGTTCTTCTCTAGAGACAAAACCGAGAGAAAGAGTGAGAGAGGAGAAAACTTAGCTTCAATTGAGAATTGGCTTGGAGACTTACGAGATGTGAAGGTTGATTGCATAATTGAGCTTCTATACCTAAAATTGAAGACCTAAGGTAGGATATTTACCTTCTTATTTATGAATTCAAGTCATTTTTTGCATGTTTCATGGAGGAATAGGAGCTTAAGGTCAAGAATTAAAGTAAAGTGTTGAATTAAGAGTGGTTCCATGCATGCATGTTCATATTGTGACATTTCGAAGTTGTTTTTCATGAAATCTTACATGCAAGCTCATGTTTTGATTGTAGTCCATGAATTCATCATGTTTTTCCATCAAATTGCCAATTTAATCTTGATTTGAGGTGTTGGAATTTAAAGGAGATCATGCATGTTGTGTTTTTGTTTTGTTCTTGAAATTTGGGTTGAAATTGTGTTCAATTGGCTTACCTTTGGGCTTGATTTTACAAATTGATCTTTAAAGACATGTTATATTGTTGCTTTTCAAGTGTCTTCCAGAAAATTGGCCCAAAAGGTTGAGTTTTGAGGTGTTGAATGCTTGGTTTGAGCTTGGGAGGCAAATCTGGAAATTCCAGATTTTGGCTTCCACGCTCAAGCGAGCCCCTGTGTATTCAGAGGTCCGCTCAAGCGATGGAATGTTGGCTCGAGCGTAAATTACAAGCTCTTAGGTTTTTGATGCACACAGACGCACGCTTGAGCGAGAGAACCTACGCTCGAGTGAGGACTGTGTCTCATGCTCGAGCGAGCGTCGAGCGGAGATTTTCAACATCCAGCACTTTTTGCATTTTTACAGACCACTCGAGCGAGGAAGCCCACGCTCGAGCGACCCCAATATTTTGACAAGCTCGCTCGAGCGAAGAAAGCCACGCTCAAGCGAAACCCCTGTTTTCTGAAAATTTTGAAAAGTATTTTAAAGTACATTTTTGCATCCTCATTTCATCTTAGGCCTAGTTTAAGGCATCTTAATGAGGTTATTGATGTAGAACCACACCGAGTCAAGATAGGGACTAAGTTGTTGATTCCCAAGTGTGTAACTTAGTGTGTGTTTGTTCTGTAACTGTGTATTAGCTGCTTATAGCCCAGTGCTCTGTGAGTAACAATGTTGTAAAGATATGTTCAATCATGAATATTTTCTGAATGATCTACTGTACTGCTTTCTGAAATGATATTTCTTACTGAATAAATGTTTGTCCTATTTGTGCACCGAATTCGTGGCATCCATAGCAATCTACTGTTACTGTACTGTTACTGCTACTGTTATAGAAATCTCTGTCGGTTCCCATGTTTGGAACCATTACTGTTTCCTGTTATGATGGCCATCAACTGACTGTTCGGTCTGTTAAGACCTACTGTACTGTTTTGCTATGGGATGTACCACATATGACCATTATGGTTTCTAAATGACTGTTTTAAATACTGAAAGGACATTCATTCTTAACCCCTTTACGCATATGTTATTCACTTGGCTTTAGCTCACTGTTTATATTTATATGTAGGTGTCCAGGCACCGGACCGGACCTAGGAACGTCGGGTTAACTCCCATTTTGTCAAGCCAACCATTGTGCCTCACCTCGAGGTTCCAAATCTGACCGAGCTAAGGCTGTTTTAGGGTGTCTCAGTTTCACCCTTCCGTCTCTGTTTTGTAATACTGTTTAAGACTTGTACTGTACTGTACTAATTAGGGATTTGGTCCCTAACCTGAATGTTTGTACATATGGTGTATATATGTTTTGCTTATGAATGTAAATATGTTCGGAAAAGTCTTTTTGCATACAGACTGTCACAGCTCATTGGACATCTTTTATTACTGTTTTGGCTTCCGCCAGCCCCTGTACTCTGCATTACTGTCTTTACTGTTAATCAGGCCTTCGGTAATCACGGATTACTGGCCGGTTACGGTGCTAAACCCATAGTGGCGGGTTTGGGTCGTGACACATCTGTACCACAACTATGTACATCACTAAACCTCTTGATGTAGAAAAAATCATTTGCTCGTTGTGCTCTGCAATGTATAGCCCACAATCAGCCTCTCTCCTCACGCATCGCACACACAACAGTAACTCTTGTTGTCTCGTTCTTGACATACGTAAACTGAAACCCACATTGGATGGCATACTTACATAAAATATCACGAAATTCTTGTGCACCTCCAACAAACCGTTGTCCCACATGTGTAATACCATTTGCCTAATGGGCTAACAACAACACATTCTCCTTATGGTAGCAAAATCTCCATAGTGCATCAATATCTTCCTCAACCCCCACACGCAGCGATCCCGAGCTACTTGACTGACCAATATCACTTTTCAACTCAACCACAACTTCTACATGTTGTACCCCCATTGATTTAGCAAGCAGTAACATGTTCTGAAATTTTTTCTAATTGTCCAAATCACACCTGTTAATCTCAGGTAACCGACAGAACAATGAAATAGAACTAGCAGACAACTCCCCCCATTTTTCACACAAATAGTCCACCAAACGCGAATAACACAATGAGCGGGCAACATTTATTACAGTTGTACTGCAACCATATGCACACACCAACATCATAAAGGTATCCATCTCCTGTAAAAATACAACAATCAACAATAATCCAAACCGATATGAAAATTCACATTGTGCAAAAATTAGATGACTACGTGTACAGTTCAAGTGTTAAATCCATAATTCACATTAACAAGATGTGAATATTCACAATGATATATATCCTCTGAATTATATCACCTACACAGAGCCTCATTAACCAAACATCAAAGTGAAGTGAGAACATCCACATTCTTTCATTAAATTAACACGATGTAAACATTTACATTGACACATATACTCTGAATTATATCACACACAGAGCCTCATTAAGCAAACATCAAAGTAAAATGCAAACATCCACATTCTTCACATAATACTAACACAATGTAACACATTCACATTGTTCTATAGAAGATCCACATTCATCACTAATCTGATGACCTCCCCTCCACAGAACCACGATGTAAACATTCACATTGATCCATATACTCTGAATTATATCACGTATGATGCATATAATTGAAAAAAAAGAGCATCCGATACATTTCAATCAAAAAACAGAGCATCTGATCCATCATACAAATCAAAACATAAAGTGAACATGTATTCATAACCAAAATGATATTAACCTTAATCATGCAATCCTACAATCGTCTAGAAACTCGAAAACAACTGCTTTGAAGTAGTTATGCTCCAGAAAATCTGAGAACCGAACACCTTCAAATTCGTCGTCTTCACTTGAAAATCACCGAACCAGACTACAACAGCAACAATGAAACCCTAGCACATCAAAGCCTCAGAACGAGCATACAAGATAGAAACATATCCATTTGAATTAGAATGATAGAAACTGCCAAAACTGAATCCACGAAATCACAAAGAACGTGTTATGTATTAACACAGTATATATATATATATATATATATAAGGGCATAATAGTTTAGGTAAAAATATAAAATTAAAAAAATGGACTTTATAGAATAAAAAGAAAAGTATATGAGACTAATCAGGTTATAATATTCATTTGTGGACTTAATAAGTTATAACAACTCGAAGATGGATTTATCAATAAAAATCCCTTAAAAGTATAATTTTTTAGTTTTTTTTTTTATTTTTGAAAAAAAATTATGTAAAAAAAATAGAGAAATAATGTGATTTAAAAAAGTCAAAAAGTAAAAAAACTGTTTGAGAATTGATTATTTAGAAACCTTTTGGATTTTTATAAAAAGGTATATAAAAAAATAAAAAAATTAATATGATAATTTATAATAATTTTTTTTGACTAAAATTAAAAATTATCAAACCAGATGTTAAGCTCATACTTGGTTCACTGTTAACAAATTTTCATGATTTTTTTTTTTTTTTGGGATTCTAGTTTGTAAATTAATTAATTAATTTCTTTGGTTTTTTTTTTAATTTTATTTTTAAATTCAGTTTAAATTAAGAGATCCTAATTGCTTTTTTACCAAAAAAAAAAAAACTTTAAATGGCTAGAGACGAGAAAATAAATCAAAAATTTTAACTCAAATTAAACAAAATTAAAAATTTGGTGTTTAGTTTGTTAAAATGGTCGAACTTTAGGTTTTTTTATTTATTTATTTATTTATAATATCCCCTTAAAAAAAAAATTGAGGCTTATAAAAGAAGATGGCTACTAAATGCCCCTATCTTGTTTGGGTGGACATGAGCTTGGGTTTGTTTTATAGTCTAATAAAATTATTAATCCGATGTTTGGTTAAACAATTGGGTCATGTTTGTTTGGGTGGACATGAACTTGGGATTGGACTAATAGTCCAATAAAATTATTAATCCGATATTTGGTTAAACATTTAAAGTACGGATTAATTATTTTAAACTTGACTATTAGTTAAGATAGGATACATAATCCAACAGATTGGTTGTCCTAGGACTATTAGTCATGGGAATGCTAATCCAGTCCGCCCAAACAAACATGGCCTTGAAGTACAGACTAATTATTTTAAACTTGACTATTAATTAAGATAGGATACATAATCTGATGGATTCGTAATCCTAAGACTATTAGTCATGGGAATGTTAATCCAGTCCGCCTAAACAAACATAGCCTAAGTTCTTAGCATTAGGTTTGAATTTTGCATTTATTTAAAAAAAAAAGAAAAAGGTAAAGGAAAGAAAATGAAATGTTTACACATTAAAAAATTAGTATATATAAGTACAATTTTTTTAGACATATCCAAGTTGCAAATATAACGTAAAGAAAACAAGAAAAAGAAAATAAGCGACATATTTTAGGTGAAAGGAAACATGCTTCCTAGTTGCCATGGTAATTTGTAATGGAACCTCTCAAGCTCCTATTCATTTTTCATATGTTTTCACATTTTCTTGAATATTAAGTTATGGACAACTTCTTTCCTGTTTTTCACTAGAACAATTCAGAAGTGATAGCAAAGTATAGCTGCATAAAAGAAATAAAAAAAAATCCCCTACTTGGCCTAAACTTGTTTCCAAAATCAGATTTGAGCAATATTCATGCCATATTCTAAAAACTCCCCATCCTAGGGCTAAACTGTTGTGAGAAGTACATACTCTGATCACAAAAGGGCTGATAGCTGTACACAACTCGAGATATATCTAGACACCAAATTTACAAGAGCAACCAAGTTTCAGCACATCATTCCAGAGGCGTCGGTTAATTATTAGTAAGTAAAATGCTACACCTATCGGCTCAGCTACTGAAACCATTAAGACCATCAATTCCAATAAAATTTGGCTAATGATTTATCGATGTTGTTTGAACACCTTCTCTGCAATTTAAGGTTGCAAGCTTGCATGAATAACCTTTCACACTTCATTCAATTTTCATGACTTTCGACCCTGCAAAAGAACCCAAATACACAGCATAGTAGACAATAAATTGGATTATGAAAAAGATTTGCACGGAAAGTACACAGTTAAGGAAAATAAAAGCATACTGATAACCATACCCTCAAATGGACCACCCATTTACCGTCAGTCCAATCTTGATGAGGCCTCAAATCAGAATGTTGAAATTCCAATACCTCATTAGTGCTCCTGATGTAGACCGCATACTTTGAGCCCTGGAAGACTTTGGAGACACCTCCAATCCACCACGCATCATTATACCAAGCATCAACTTCTTCAAATGGTTCATAAGGATCAACACGTTGAATTACAGGAGGGCAAGGCCTTATGAACAAAGCATAAGCCTCTTCTTTAAGGAGTTCCATTTCATTACCAGTTTTCAGTGTCCTGTATTCTACCAAATGCTTCCCAGTCCCTTTAGAGCCTATAATAACTGCTGGGTACCAAGAATCTGAGTAACCTTCTTCATCACTTCTGACTTCAACCTTCATTCCCTTGGTAAAGCAGTTTGGCTCCAGTGCTCTCAAATCATTCTGCCTCTTCAACTTTCCTGGTCTGGGCTTCAGTGGCAACTCAGATGACCTTCTCTGCATTTCAAGCTTTCAAAGATTTAGAAGACATGCAAGCAAACAAATGAAAATAAAAATATCTTGATATCTTTATTTATTTTTATTTTTTTGCATATGATGTTATCTAAGAATGAATATCATGTTACACACTATAAAAAAATCCACCAGAAGGAAAATTTTAAGTGATTGAAAAACATAAGTAATACCATGAAATCAGCAACAAATTTTCCGGCAATCCATTCTTGATGAGGCCTCAGATTAAAATGACCAAATTCTAATACCTCATTGGTGTTCCAGAAATAGACAGCATAATTTAAGCCAGGAAGAACTCTGTAGATAAGACCCACCCACCATCCATCATTATACCATGCATCGACTTTCTCTAAAAGTTTGAAACGGTCCAGCCGTTGTATAACAGGAGGACAAGGCCTAATGTGTAAAGCATCTGCCTTTTCCTTAAGGAGTTCAGTTTCATCCTCTGTTTTCAGTGTCTGGTATTCGACCAAGAACTTGTCCTTCCCAATTGAGCCAACAATTACTGCAGTGTACCAAGAACCATGGTAACCTTCTTCATTGCTTTTGACCTCCACCATTGTCCCATTGCTGAAATTTGCTTCTGAAGTTGTTCCACTGTACTTTGTCTTGAATTTTAGCTCTCTCGCTCTGGACTTCAATTCCAACTCAGATGCACTCTGCATTTCAAACTCTCAGATATTGGTGACATGTAAAACCAAACAAATTTTAATTAATCACTTCAACATGAGATGACTTGGCTTTGGAGCAGTAAATTAGTAATTTTGGAGGATATTCAAGGTGGATGAACAGTTTTTGTACTGTATAGCATATCTAACTAGAACAGGTAAAAAAAAGAGTAAAGAAAAGAAAAAGACATTAATAGTGTGTTTGGTTGGGGAATTTGGGGAGGGATTTGGAAAGGGAAAGGGAAAAGGTGTGTGAAACTATGTGAAATATATACATATTTTATTCACATTTCACCTACCTTTTCTATTTCCCTTTCCAAATCACTCCCCAAATCCCCTAACCAAACACAAAGAGAATACAGAAGTCATACCCTGGAAGTAGCAACCCATTTACCATCAATCCACTCTTGATGAGGCCTCAATTTAGAATGTTCAAGCGTGATTTCCTCATCTGTGCTCCCCAAATGGACTATGTACTTGCATTCATCAAGAACTTTGAAGATATGACCCACCCACCACCCATCATTATACCAAGCATCAACTTCTTGAAACTTGTCAAAATGGTTGATCTGTGGAATCTCAGAGGGACAAGGCCTGATGAAAGAAGCATCAACATTTTCTTTGAGGAGCTCAGTTTCACCATGTGTCCAGAGTGTCTGGTATTCCACCAAGAACTTGTCATTCCCTATTGAGTCAATAATAACAGCAGTGTACCAAGAACCCTGGTATCCTTCTTTGTTGCTTCTGGCCTCAACCATTGTTCCCTTGCTGAATTTTGCTTCTGATGCTCTTCCGCTATACTTAATCCTGAGTTTCAACTCTCTGCGTTTCATATCCAACTCAGATGACTTTCCCTGCATTTCAAGATTTCACACAAATAAAACCACAATAATGGAAAATTGAGGGTGACATAGAAATGTATAGAAATGACAAGCTTTAAACAATTAAATATTGTGCACATAGCTTACTTTAAATACATCTCATGCTAAATATTAGCTGGACGAAGCCTAAAGTCATGCACATGATATGCTATTTGATTATGATTTGTTCCTTAATTTACCATTAGTCTTTTGTCAGCATAAAGTTGTGGGTTTTGGTTGGATGATGAAGAAACGCACCACAGGCCATAGACCAAATATCTAGTCTTGGCACCTCTCATCGATGTTGCAAATTTTTTTTTTTTTTGATTGGCACTGGGTGTCCAAATCAAAATCTAACTAATCCCCAAGGGTACACAGCCACACAGCTCTCGGCAAGGAGTTTCTCGCAAATGTACCACGGTTAATTCAAGGTTTTCCCCCAGTTCGATAGCCCCAAGAAATTATTAACACCTATGAGGGATGTAGCAAACTTTTTGTAATGGAGTTTCCCTAGAGTCAGGTTTATTAGAGCAAACCTCCCAAAAATATGAATGCTTTCTTTACATAAGATTATGCAATTCAGAACAGCCAATCATCCGCCAGATCCAGAAACATAAAACACATCCTACCAGGGAAGACCAAGTGTCTCACAAAATATTTTTTTTCCTACTTCAGTTTAAAGCTTTCAAATAATCTTCTTCCTCATGAAGTTTATAATTCTAATTTGTATATATTATTTTACCACAATCCAGCAAAAATTAAAGTAAACAAATGAAATCACCAAAAGAAAGAAGGGACAAAAAAATGAAAAAGTAAACACATTGAATCAATCATTTTTGAGAAATGTGATCTTTGATCTAAACCCCCAATTTTTAGGTATCCATACTCAGCTAAGTGATCGTAACGCACAAGAATAGACCGCGGAGCTCAGACCTGTGCATTTGAAAGCTTAAAAAAAGCAATTCAATAAAGGAACAGCACTAGCAACCAAGAAAATATGAAAAAATAAACCCCATATTCTCTTTCTCTCTATCGCTCGCTCGCTCGCTCGTTCGCGTGTGTATATATATATAGATGTATGTACCTGTAGCTGTAGGTCGAGAGGGGGAATCCAGGAGCCATCATCCCAATCGCGATGAAGCCGCAAATTCCACAGTTCGAACTCAGCCTTCTCATGAACTCCGCCGACGAACGAGACAGAGTACTTGGAATTCTCAAGTATGTCATCAATTGTTCCTTGACGCCAGGCGTTCCGGCGAAATGCGTCGACATTGTCTCCAACCTTGAAGTACCGGTGGAGCTCTATAGGAAGCGAAGGCCTGACTTTGGCAGCAGAGACGTACTCTCTGAGGCGTTTGGTCTGAGTCTCGTCATCGGCGGAGCCGGAGGAGTTGAGAGTCTCGTACTCCACGTAAATCTGGCCCCTGTGCTTCACCGGCACTGATCGGATTACGATCGCCGGGAACCACAGAGACGCGTCGTCGTCGTCGTCCCTGTTCACCTCTACTTTGTCACCCTTGTCGAAATGTCTCGCCGCCGGCATTGCGCATCAAACCCTAATTATACGTATTGAGAGAGAAAGTGATGAGAGAGAGAGAGAGAGGCGGGGAGAGGAAGATGGTTGTTCAGTGAGCAGTGTGGCGGCAGAGTATGGTGGCACATCGTCCGAATTGGCAAAGGTTACTGCTAATTTTCGTTTCCGTAAAAAGATCAGTTTAGGCTTCTCAACTACACCAAGGATCCTCTAAAGTATTTTTTTTCTAAAGTTTTCTAAAGTGGTGAATTGTGTGATTCAGATTTAATGTTGAAAAATTGATGTGACTTGTCATTAAATCTCAACCACATAATGCACCACTCTAGGAAACTTTAGGAAAAAAAAACTCTAGAGGATCCTTACTCTCTCAACTAAGCACTGGTTTGAAATGTTGGACGGGGTATAAAATAAATTTTTTAATTTTAAATTAAAAATGTAACATTTAAATTATAATTATTTTATTTTTTTATAAAATTTTTAAAAAAATATAAAAATATATTTTAAATGAAATTTTTTAGTTTACCATGAAGTGAAAAATTAAAAAGATTAAAGTTTAATTTGGCATAATTTAAAAAAGTCAAAAAATTAATATCTTATTTAAATTATATTATTTTATTTAAATCACATCATTTCTTTATTACATCATTGAAAATTTGACCTATAATTTATATTTTTTTATAAAAAATTAAAAAGTACATTTATTTAAATTATTTCAAACAATTTCCAAGAGTCACAAAACGACAGCGTACTGGCCCAAAACGGTCCAAATCCATATAAATGTGATCAAGCTTTTGTTTCTCATTCGTGCCTGCCTCCTATTCCTATGCTATTGAACTACACCGTCACATGAAAAATTGGTGGCCGATGGTTCGAATGGTTCAAATATATTAAGATATTGTCATTTTATCCTTAAAATTACATTATTTTGAGATATTCAAGTCATAAAATTCCGACCACCTGCCATTGTTGAAAAATATTATTGATTGATACAAAATGTGACGTACTTATGTCTCTCTCCGTCATAATTTTATAAGGTTTATTTATTAAGACCTCTTTTGATAGGTAGATTAAAAGTAATTTCTTAATAGTAAAACCTTAATAAAATTCCCAATTCAATTTAATTTGATTTTTGTTTGATAGCAAAATTAAAAATTAGTATGATGCAATAGTTATATTTAAATATAAGCTCAAGTTAACTACTCATTCCGTCTCAAAATAATAGTCAATTTTAAGAAATTTAATTTTTTTTGGTAGTATAATTATTATACTTAAAAAAATTGAAAGGGTAAATTACAAATATATCCCTTGAGATTTACTTATAGTACAGATTGTCCCTTGTATTTTGAAAAATTACAAATACTTCATTGTTAGTATTTTTTTTAACAGAGTTAACTAAAAAAATGAAATTCATAATTGCTCTCCTATACAATAATAAAATTACCCACATTATTAATTGAAACATATTTCTAACATCATTAAAAATTGTTAATTGACTTGATGATTTATCAATAAAATGGACGATTTATTATGAAATTAGAAACCTCAAGTTTGAAATGTAATTTCTAAAACCATAAGGGTGATTCGTATTTTAACCAAATCTCAGGGATATATTTGTAATTTATCCATAAATAATATATAAAAACTGTTATATATTATTTGTTTTTTTCATCGCTTTGAATCACTGAATCACATACCAATATATTATAGTTGTTATTAATTATGTAATAATTATTTATAAACAAATAAACTAATTATGAATATTCATATAAAAGATGATAGAAAATAAAATTTATAAGAAATTTTTAACATAATTAAACGTTTAAAGCGATAAATTAAACATATACACACACATATATATATATTTTTAAAAAGGCAAAAAGAAAGTAATGATAAAAATTTTCCAACATTATTTGAAAGGTTTAAATTGAAATAATTTTTTTGTGTTTGTAAAGTAGTTTTTAAGATAAAAAGTACAAAAACTTATTTGGTTTAATTACTCTTAAAAATTCGTTTGCAGAGAATTTTTTCCAAATTTTTTTCTGAAAAACAAACCAAACAAAAGTATAGTTTCCCAAAAGTTAAAAGGGGCACGTGACCCCAGACTACACGTGCCTCCGTCCCTGCTCACCTGAGATGTAATTATGCCTAGAACATTAACACTTTTAGGTCCCGTTTGTTTGGGGTTATAGGGAGGGGATTGAGATTACTAATCCCTTTAGAGTGTTTGTTTTGAGAGATAGGGAAGGGACTAAGAGAGATTGGTAAGGAGGAGATAGAGATGGTATTAGAAAAATAGTGAGGGGATTATAAATTTTTTTATTTTTTATATATTGGGAATTTTTTTAAATATTGATGTTTAATTTTTTATATTTTTTTGTTTGTTTTATTATTTTATATAAAAATAATTTAACAATTCCTCACTATTAATCCCCTCACTATAAATCCCCTCACTAATAATTCCCTCACTATTAATCCACTCACTATGAATCCCCTCCATTCTATCTCTGAAAACAAACGAGGCCTTAGGGTCCGTTTGTTTTCAGAGGTAGATTCAGTAAGATTATTAGTGTGGGGATTATTAGTGAGGAGACTGTTAGTGAAGGGACTAGAAAATTTGTGTTTGTTTGATAACTAGTGGACTAGCAATAATTCCTGTTTGTTTTGAGAGATAGGAGTAGGATTAACTAGTAAAATTCCATAAATACCCCTGTTACATTATTATGAAATTTGAATAATAATAGAGAATCAAAAGAATTATTTATGATATATTTTAACAAATTATTATATTATTATATTATATTAAATTATATTATTATTATATTATTATATTAAATTATAATAATTATAATAATTTTATCTTGACATTTATTATCAGTAACATGTTCTGAAATTCTTTTTGGCACGCTTGAATTACATTTCTAACCTTAGAAGTGTCAAAAATAGCCAATATTTTTTTTTTAGCACGCCCAATAGGACCAATTTTGTGTTGAAAATATGGTTCGAATACGGTGCCAAGGCAAAGAACATCTAGAAGACGAAGATGTTGAAATATAAGAAGAGGGTGTTTTTCTTTGAAAAATGAACCATAACTGACCTTCCTTCTATTTCTAGCCTACCTTTAGATGGTCATCAACATATTAAAGATTTTCACATAATGATGGATACACCTAC